TCTCTTCTCCCATCAAACAAATACTCACCGGCTGTCCTTCCTTTGCAGCTTCTCCAGTTCACACCCCGACCCTCACTGTAAATAAAATCACTTACCTTTTGTATCTGGTCTCCCGAGTCTGTTTCGCTCCAAACCTGTTCATTTTTGACTTCTCACAAACCTGACATTCCCCAGGTGGAGCTGGAAATTCTCAATGGGGAGAGGGATGTCTGGGTTTCTCTCCTGGACCTGTTGCCTCCGTGACCCAACCATGGATAAGTTGAATAAGATGAAGATAGAGATTAGTTTGAGTTTCTTAAAACCTGTCTACAGTATCATAACAGACAATTTCTTTGACTAACAGCTATTGCTAAAGCTTTTAGCAAATGTAAAGAGCTCAGAATATGTGTTGTGAATGAACAACTACAAATTTAGCTCAAACTCTGTAAATTTAACAAAGTTATTGTGATGATTCAGGGTTTTATATTTTTTCTAACCCTTCTTGCAGCTCCTGGGTGGCAGGGAAGAGCCTATCACCCACAGCTGTCTCCAGTTTGCTGATTGGTTTACTGACGACTACTTAAGGCTGTTTGGTCCTAGACTGCGCTGGAACATTGTCCAACGTTGGTACAGTGCCTGGCTATTGTCTGATTATGTTGAACACAAGATAATACTAACTCCTTTCCTCAGGGGGTGGTGTGGATAAGTGGTTAGAGCAGTCGTCCTCCAATGACAGAGTTGACAATTAGATTTTGCTATATAGTCAAAATGTCCTTTGGCAAGACGCTGAACGTTTGATGCGTTTACCTTCAGTGTATGAATTGGATTTAAGCACTGATTAGTATCCATACAATGATCTACTCAGATTAACGTTGTAGAGAGACCTAAGAGTGCTGGGTGAATGGGTAAATGAGGGCACTGATTGTTGTGTAAAGCACTTTGAGTATTCTAGTTGGATAGAATGGCATTTTATGAAAGTTTCTTTGAGATTCATCCATTGGTTCATTAGACTGCTTTAACAAACGTGGTTGATGAAAACATTCATTGCTAACGTTTTAGGTAAAAACATCAATGTGTAGTTCTCAAAGTAAATGTTGAGAGTGGATGCTTTTTTGTAACAATATTGCTCTGCAATAAATCCTACTCCTTTTGGCTTATGTCAAATGCTGGTTGAAGAATGGGATGGCCATTCCACAGCAGTAGGTGACCAAGCAGGTAAACAGCATGTGGAGGGAGATTATGGTTCTGCTGCTCATCTGACACATGAATTTTCCTAACATCTGTGGCACCATATATAAGGGAAAAAAACAAGTTATCCAACAGTATAAAATTATTATGACCCCCGCACACGACGCGTAAGCGGGAGTCATGTTGTTTTCGTACTGTTTATTTTTTTTCTCCAGTGATTTTTGGTCAACCGTAGCACAAAAACGGCTGCTCCGGTCAACATGAAATTTGGCAGGACTGTAGATGAGTCTGACCTACACTGTGCCAGCCAACGGTTTTATGATAGACCCCATATTTGAGGAGGGGGCTCCTTTCAAAGAGTGGGTGTCAGGACATGCAAAATTGCCTATAACTCAGAAACTGTTCAACATAGAAGCTTCAGATTTCTTTTGTTGTTTAGCTCTGATGAAGCTCTATCCATCAGGTCCACCAATAATTGACCCCCAATTTATCTGAAAGAGGGGTATCTGGTAGGGTTGGGCATAATCGTATCGTGTGCAATTAATCGTCAGAAAAACATTAATCGATTACTTTTTGGCACTTGACGATTAATATGATTAATGCCACCAGGCAGACTGACCGGAGATTACTCTGGTCAGTCTGCTTGTTGCTCCTCTCCGCTTCAAATAGGATGAACATTAAAAATAAAGTTCTATAATTTATTTATCTATCAACACAATTTAAAATATGATGTATATCCTGAAATCTGTAATTTTCACACAATTTTGAAAATTTTTTTACAAAGACCAAATCTTTCCCACTAAATTTGTCATCACTATGAAATAAGGGTGTCCAGGGACTCCAGGGGATTAATCGTCAAATTAATCATTATTGGCTAAATACCACAATTAAGCGTGATTAATTTTTTTGCCAATATTGCCCAACCCTAGTATCTGGACCAGTGGCGGATGCTGGTCTTTCAACAAGAGGAAGCTCAGTTTCGGCCTACATTATAAAATGTGTGGGTTATAAATTCTACCCTCCGTTCCTTTTCAAGAAAATGATCTGTGACCCTGTCACAGATAGATATGTTTAGTTTATAGTATTTATTCATTTCA